GACACGCTCAGGTACAGACAGACACGCTCAGGTACACACACTCAGGTACACACACACAGACACGCTCAGGTACACACACACACACAGACACGTTCAGGTACAGACACGCTCAGGTACACACAGACATGCTCAGGTACACACACACAGACACGCTCAGGTACACACACACAGACATGCTCAGGTACACACAGACACGCTCAGGTACACACACTCAGGTACACACACACAGACACGCTCAGGTACACACGCTCAGGTACACACAGACACGCTCAGGTACACAGACACGCTCAGGTACACAGACACGCTCAGGTACACACACACAGACACGCTCAGGTACACACACACAGACACGCTCAGGTACACACAGACACACACAGACACGCTCAGGTACACACAGACACAGACACGCTCAGGTACACACAGACACGCTCAGGTACACACACACACGCAGACACGCTCAGGTACACACACACGCACACGCAGACACGCTCAGGTACACACACAGACACACTCAGGTACACACACGCTCAGGTACACACAGACACAGGCGCTCAGGTACACACACACACAGACACGCTCAGGTACACACACACACAGACACACTCAGGTACACACAGACACGCTCAGGTACACACACTCAGGTACACACACACACACAGACACGCTCAGGTACACACACACACACACCAATGAGTGAAGTTCCCTATAATACGACTGTTTATATCTTATTTAGAGGAGTTTAAGTTTGTGTGAGTGATTACACTGAACCTTCATGTCCAGAGTATCTCCACGACAACGAGGATAGGTGTTACACCTGTTCATTGGTGCAGGAGGGTTTAATAAGCCCCTCCCACTCCGAGGTTTTGGACGGCACTCAAAGTGGCAGATCCTCCAAACGAGTGTGTAGAGGAACGTTTGACAGAGTCCAAGATCTATAACTGAAATTGGTTGTGTTCTCCTTTTAGTTGCCATGGCGATACCAGCCTCTCCCTGGTTGGTTAATGAACTGGGTGAGACTCTCTGCAGCGTTGTGGCTCCTCCCTCTTACTCCTACGACCCCAATGGCAGTGATCTACCTCGAGGTCAGAGGTCAACCAGTGTAAACTAAAACATTTCACTTCCTGCTGCAGCCTCCTGCCTCATGTGTGTGTGCGTGTGCGTGTGTGTGTGTGTGTGTGTGTGTGTGTGTGTGTGTGTGTGTGTTTGTGTTCAGACTGCAGAGTCCTCCAGTATTACTTTAACTTGGGAGTCCAGGTACGACACACCCCCTTCTTCTTCTCACCTGTTTGAGCTCACCTGTATGATTCTGTTTTTGATTCATGTTCAGATCTTTTTTCTTTAATCTTAAACTCAGATTGAATAAACTCTGAAACATTTAAATCAGCTGTGACTGAAATCACCCTCTGCTGAACACCATGCTGCTCTTTCTACCTGATCACAACAACACATCATTATGATGACATCATAGCATGTGGAGAGACAGCGAGTAGTGTCAGACACAGCCTGTGTCTAAGGTGTCCTGACCTCTGACCTCTGACCTCCCCACAGTGGTATAATCAGAGCTGTTGGCAGCAGCAGCAGCAGGTGTACCCCCCTACTCCACCTGAGGCCCACTACCCCTACCAGCATTACAACCCTTACCTGAGCCAGGACACGCCCCCACACGGTAACTCCTCCTCCTTTGATCTTCACTGAGCATTATGAGGGTTGCACGGCTCAAATACACACAGCTGCAGAAACTCTCTCTCTCTCTCTCTCTCTGTCTCTCTCTCTCTCTCTCTCTGTCTCTCTCTCTCTGTCTCTCTGTCTCTCTCTCTCTCTCTCTCTCTCTCTCTCTCTCTCTCTCTGTCTCTCTCTCTCTCTCTCTGTCTCTGTCTCTCTCTCTCTCTCTCTCTCTCTCTCTCTCTCTCTCTCTCTGTCTCTCTCTCTCTCTCTCTCTCACTCACTCACTCACTCTACATAATGTATATTATGCTATTTCCTGCCGATGTTTCTTTAATGATCAGAGGGGAAACGACAGATTAAACGAGCATGCCTGCTGTTGCCTTGGTGATTTTTGATGCTGTTTCTGCGGGTAAAGTGCCGAAGTTGGGGAATCAGCTTGTGGCTCTGCTCTCACTGTGAGAGTGTGTGCAGTCATGCAACCAAAATATCAAACATGTCAGAAAGTCATCCGGCTGGGCGGGAGCAGCTGATTGAGCTGTGATTGGCCGTTGTGCCTTGCTGTACACTGCGTGACTAACGACATGTCACATGTCAGGCTGAAATTCCCCCGAATTCAAAATGAGTGGTACGACTCAAAAGTCAAGTCTGAAATGATTCAGCGTACGCTCGGCTTTAATCAGTGATGTTAACAATAAGAGCAGACAGAACAGGAAGTAGAACCTCATGACCTGGTCCTTTTGCCCCCAGCTGCACCCCCTTCATACCCTGAGACGTCTCGAGGCCCCCATCAGCCCCACTCTGCCTACCCAGAATCCTCCAGGGCTGGAGACGGACAGAATGATGGACACAACAGCGGTTAGTGCGTCACTGATGTTAAAACAGCTGTTAAACACCTGAACACAGCTGAGTGTAACACCTGAACACACCTGAGTGTAACACCTGAACACAGCTGAGTGTAACACCTGAACACACCTGAGTGTAACACCTGAACACACCTGAGTGTAACACCTGAGTGTAACACCTGAGTGTAACACCTGAACACAGCTGAGTGTAACACCTGAACACACCTGAGTGTAACACCTGAACACACCTGAGTGTAACACCTGAACACACCTGAGTGTAACACCTGAACACACCTGAGTGTAACACCTGAGTGTAACACCTGAGTGTAACACCTGAACACAGCTGAGTGTAACACCTGAGTGTAACACCTGAACACAGCTGAGTGTAACACCTGAGTGTAACACCTGAACACAGCTGAGTGTAACACCTGAGTGTAACACCTGAACACAGCTGAACACAGCTGAGTGTAACACCTGAACACAGCTGAGTGTAACACCTGAACACAGCTGAACACAGCTGAGTGTAACACCTGAACACAGCTGAGTGTAACACCTGAGTGTAACACCTGAACACAGCTGAGTGTAACACCTAAACACAGCTGAGTTAAATAATTACACCTGAGATTAAGAGCTAAACATACCTGAGCTCACCTGTGCAGGAGCTACACTTCATCACACTCAAAGGTTCTGATTGGTCAGCAGCGTCTGATCCTTATCCAATAAATCTGCTGCTTGTTAACTTGTTTTGTTTTCTCCTCCGCCTTAGGCCACGCCCCCTCCATGGAAGGCTCCTCCTCTGCCAGCCCCACTCCTCCAGGTTCCGCCTCTTCCTCAGCTCTCATGTATTCTGACCAGGCGCCCCTCCCCCATGCTCCACTGCTACATCTTCCATATGAAGCTCCGCCCCCAGCCACCTACCTACCATCAGCCCCTCCCCCGCCTCCTCCTATTCCCCATCCTGCTCATCCTCATCAGATCCACCTCCCCCATCACTCCTCTTACCACCCCTGCCTCCCCTCCTCTACTCACTGGGGGGCGCTGCAGGGCGGAGGTCATGCTCAACGAGTGTATTGCCCCTCCCCCAACCCCTCCCATGTGGTCAGCTACATCACAGCCCCGTCCCATCATGCAGCCACACACTACATGCCCCCCACCATCTAACGCACACACACGTGTCCTGCTGGAACCTTTAATGTTAGCTTGTGGCTAACAGCTCTGTTTGTTTTCAATGCGCAGTGCTAACAGAAATAAAAATCTTAACATCAGGTAAAAATAAACCTCAGACACACAACTGCCTCATCATCACTTCCTGTTAGGAAGTTAATTTTATTTGTTTGGACATTTTGTTTTTGTCTGCGATTACCACGGCAACACGGGTAACAAGGCCCTTTGTTGTCATAGTGACGAGGAAGAGTTGGAGCATAGCCTCGAAGTCGACAGAGAAGTCGATATATTTTAGTTTGAATCGTCAGTTCAGTTTGTTTTGAGCATAATCCAGCCAATCAGAGAGAGGGGGCGTGGTCCCTGTTTATAATGAGGGGATGTTTTTGTGTTGATCTGTTCAAACTGATGTCTTTGTTTTTGTTCATGGGTGAATAAAGTTTGTTTCACCAGCAGATCATGAAGTGTCAGTTTTTCTTCCATCACAGGACGTTTAACTTCCTGTTTAGATCTTGAGGTCTGACTCGTTAGGTGAGACCGGGATCAGGATCTGATGTTCACCTGTACAGGTACAGAGCTGAGATCTTCTCCTCAGGTGTTATTAAAATAAAGCAAGTACTGGAGTGCTAAAACCTGCAGTTCCTTGAGTGTCCACTTGAGGGCGGCTCCACAAGAAAGTCAGTCCCCCTTAGGTCCCCACATGAAGGGGTCCAGTTTGACAGCAGAAATAAAAACATGTTTACAGCCAAACAGAAACATCTGGTCTCTGTGGCTCATTCCTTCATTGGTCAAATGTGTAAAGGAGTAAAAAACACTTTATCGCTAGTCGGTTTTTATTTTATGAATTTAAGAGTTCTTTGTAAAAAAAGGGGTGTGGCTGATTATCAGGAGGTTTAAGTTGCCGCCCAGTGACGGCTGGTGTACAATTTCTCACAGATGGGCCAGGATGATGCTAACACATACTGGAAAATGGCATTAACTGGCTAACATAATTAGCATCACTTATTAAACTTAGGAAACTATTCAACAAACAGCACATGGACTCGTACTTAGACGTATGTTTCCTTAAACTCTGAAGACTGTTAGTCTGGTCTGCTCTGATCCAGTGACGCTGCACGACTCGCTCTTTGTCTCAGACACGTCGCTCTGCTGCCTCCTTCTGGTGGAGGTGTGTGATGTGTTCATGGACACACTTAAGCCCCCCGGGGGGGAAAAGCTCCTCTCTCTTGATTGAAGATGAGCAAATGAGCGACTTATAACAAGGGTCGATGGAGCCTCAGAGCGCTGGATTGTAGTGCCCTAAACACCAGAAACACGTCAACAATCAGTAACTTAAAGTTTAAAATCTACTTTTTTATTACAGGTTCATTATTTTACTCAACAACCACATCTTTACTTCACAATCCTACATGTCTATCTTTTATTGACAACGTATTTTTAAAAATTGTATTTGTTGTCCATCCATTGAACTCCTTGTGGGAAGTGGATTGGCGCCCCCCACCACTGGCCCCGCCTCAGCTCCACCTTAGTCAACATTTTCAATATGGCGACCGCCTGTCATTGGGTTTCACAGGCTAAATCTCCAAATCGGCACTCGGACGTTGAGGTTTAATGGTGTCCCACTGTGGAATCATCGGGTGCAGGAGTGAGCGCCTACGTGGACTTCCTGTGTGTGTCATGGTAACAGCTCATAGGGAATCTCCACAGTCCAGAGGTCACGACCTCCTCGAGTACTCAGCGGCTCCTTCAGCCAGCGGGGGTTTGACAGGTGAGTCAAGTGTTTCTCTTGTAGACCAATCAGAACAGCAGACCGCTCCAGGTGCTGAAGCTCCTCCCCCTGCAGGGAGGCGGGGCACAGCCAGGTCTCTCCTACATCCACCAACCCTGAGAGAGATGAACACAGGTGATGCCTTCAGGTCAACCTGGTAAACCACAGAACACTGATGGACTCTCACCTGCCACTACGCCATGGCCGAACCTCTCCCCGGACTCCAGAAGCGCTTCCATCTGACCACGGTTCATCCCCAATGGACCGCTTAGCACCGTCCTCCAATCCTCACCCTTCCAGTCCCGCCAGGCGATGTGGATAGCCAGAGTCTGGTTCTCCAGCGGGGCCAGTAGGGGGCGCCAGCGGCTCTCCACCGTCTTCACCCCGTCCAGAACCAGACCGGCGTACGGCTGCCGGAACGACAGACAGCTGACCTGCAGCGACATGTCTATGAAACAAACAAGCATCACAATGTTAAACATTAGAATAATGGATTAATACAAACTTTAACATCGTGAGCTAGCATTAAGCTAGCGCGAGCGTCGGTCAATGTGACGTCATCTTTAGTATAAAAAGAGACACGGCCAATAAAAAAATCTAAATCTGTCATATTTCAGAAATTAAAGTCAGGGTTGGTCATTTCCTCCAGATCCACTTTTTAAGATGTTGATTGAAATTGTCTTTAGGTCCTGACAGAAATTTAAAAACTCATGTTTACGGTGGCCAGTACGCACAGCGTAACGCTCAGCAACTGATGAAACGACATTTAGAAAAACGTGCAGCATATATAGAAACGCTGCACATTCAAAAGCAAACGCAAACTACCACAACAAACGCAAAGACACAAACGCTACAAGTTCAAAATCCTGGCAGACTGAAGTCCCGTACTGAAGCCGGGCAGCCAACTTAGCAAAGCTACCACTCAACAAGACCTCATTTCTCAAAGTTGTGTTTCCCCTACATGTTATAAAGTCGTGTTTGTGCACATTAGAGCATGGGGCAGAACCCGGTGAAACGCTGCTTCTGGTTGTGTGTGTGTTTTGACTTAAGTTTCGTTTGTGTTTTTGCAGTGCGTTTGTGTCTTTGCAGTGCGTTTGTGTCTTTGCAGTGCGTTTGTGTCTTTGTTTGTGTCTTTGCAGTGTGTTTGTGTCTGCAGTGCGTTTGTGTTTGTGTCTTTGCAGTGCGTTTGTGTCTTTGCGTGTTTGTGTCTTTGCAGTGCGTTTGTGTCTTTGCAGTGCGTTTGTGTCTTTGCAGTGCGTTTGTGTCTTTGTAATGTGTTTGTGTCTTTGCAATGTGTTTGTGTCTTTGCAGTGCGTTTGTGTCTTTGCAGTGCGTTTGTCTCTTTGCAGTGTGTTTGTGTCTGTGTCTTTGCAGTGCGTTTGTGTCTTTGCAGTGTGTTTGTGTGTTTGTGTCTTTGCAGTGCATTTGTGTCTTTGCAGTGTGTTTGTGTTTGTAGTGTGTTTGTGTCTTTGCAGTGCGTTTGTGTCTTTGTGTCTTTGCAGTGTGTTTGTGTCTTTGCAGTGCGTTTGTGTCTTTGTGTCTTTGCAGTGCGTTTGTGTCTTTGCAGTGCGTTTGTGTTTGTAGTGTGTTTGTGTCTTTGCAGTGTGTTTGTGTCTTTGTGTCTTTGCAGTGTGTTTGTGTCTTTGCAGTGCGTTTGTGTCTTTGCAGTGCATTTGTGTCTTTGCAGTGTGTTTGTGTCTTTGCAGTGCGTTTGTGTGTTTGTGTCTTTGCCGTGTTTGTGTCTTTGCAGTGCGTTTGTGTCTTTGCAGTGTGTTTGTGTCTGCAGTGCGTTTGTGTGTTTGTGTCTTTGCAGTGCGTTTGCAATGTGTTTGTGTCTTTGTAGTGCGTTTGTGTCTTTGTGTCTTTGCAGTGTGTTTGTGTCTTTGCAGTGTGTTAGTGTGTTTGTGTCTTTGCAGTGTGTTTGTGTCTTTGCAGTGCGTTTGTGTGTTGGTGTCTTTGCAGTGCGTTTGTGTCTTTGCAGTGTGTTTGTGTCTGTGTCTTTGCAGTGCGTTTGTGTCTTTGCAGTGTGTTTGTGTCTTTGCAGTGCATTTGTGTCTTTGCAGTGTGTTTGTGTCTGTGTCTTTGCAGTGCGTTTGTGTCTTTGCAGTGTGTTTGTGTCTTTGCAGTGCGTTTGTCTTTGCAGTGCATTTGTGTCTTTGTGTTTTTGCAGTGCGTTTGTGTCTTTGCAGTGTGTTTGTGTGTTTGTGTCTTTGCAGTGTGTTTGTGTCTTTGTAGTGTGTTTGTGTGTCTTTGCAGTGTGTTTGTGTGTTGGTGTCTTTGCAGTGTGTTTGTGTCTTTGCAGTGTGTTTGTGACTTTGCAGTGCGTTTGTGTGTCTTTGCAGTGTGTTTGTGTCTTTGCAGTGTGTTTGTGTCTTTGCAGTGTGTTTGTGTCTGTGTCTGTGTCTTTGCAGTGTGTTTGTGTCTTTGCAGTGTGTTTGTGTCTGTGTCTGTGTCTTTGCAGTGTGTTTGTGTCTTTGCAGTGTGTTTGTGTCTGTGTCTGTGTCTTTGCAGTGTGTCTGTGTCTTTGCAGTGTGTTTGTGTCTTTGCAGTGTGTTTGTGTCTTTGCCGTGTGTTTGTGTCTTTGCCGTGTGTTTGTGTCTTTGCCGTGTGTTTGTGTCTTTGCAGTGTCTTTGTGTCTTTGCAGTGTGTTTGTGTCTTTGCAGTGTCTTTGTGTCTTTGCAGTGTGTTTGTGTCTTTGCAGTGTCTTTGTGTCTTTGCAGTGTCTTTGTGTCTTTTCAGTGTGTTTGTGTCTTTGCAGTGTCTTTGTGTCTTTGCAGTGTGTTTGTGTCTTTGCAGTGTGTTTGTGTGTTGGTGTCTTTGCAGTGTGTTTGTGTCTTTGCAGTGTGTTTGTGTGTTGGTGTCTTTGCAGTGTGTTTGTGTCTTTGCAGTGTGTTTGTGTGTTGGTGTCTTTGCAGTGTGTTTGTGTCTTTGTGTCTTTGCGTCTTTGCAGTGTGTTTGTGTCTTTGCCGTGTGTTTGTGTCTTTGCAGTGTGTTTGTGTCTTTGCGTCTTTGCAGTGTGTTTGTGTCTTTGCAGTGTGTTTGTGTCTTTGCAGTGTGTTTGTGTCTTTGCCGTGTGTTTGTGTCTTTGCAGTGTGTTTGTGTCTTTGCAGTGCGTTTGTGTCTTTGCAGTGTGTTTGTCTTTGCAGTGTGTTTGTGTCTTTGCAGTGTGTTTGTGTCTTTGTGTCTTTGCAGTGTGTTTGTGTCTTTGCAGTGCGTTTGTGTCTTTGCAGTGCGTTTGTGTCTTTGCAGTGTGTTTGTGTCTTTGCAGTGTGTTTGTGTCTTTGCAGTGTGTTTGTGTCTTTGCAGTGTCTTTGTGTTTTTGCAGTGTGTTTGTGTCTTTGCAGTGTGTTTGTGTGTTTGTGTCTTTGCAGTGTCTTTGTGTCTTTGCAGTGTGTTTGTGTCTTTGCAGTGTGTTTGTGTCTTTGCAGTGTGTTTGTGTCTTTGCAGTGTCTTTGCAGTGTGTTTGTGTCTTTGCAGTGTGTTTGTGTCTTTGTGTCTTTGCAGTGTGTTTGTGTCTTTGTGTCTTTGCAGTGTCTTTGTGTCTTTGCAGTGTGTTTGTGTCTTTGCAGTGTGTTTGTGTCTTTGTGTCTTTGCAGTGTGTTTGTGTCTTTGTGTCTTTGCAGTGTGTTTGTGTCTTTGTGTCTTTGCAGTGTGTTTGTGTCTTTGCAGTGTCTTTGTGTCTTTGCAGTGTGTTTGTGTGTTTGTGTCTTTGCAGTGTGTTTGTGTCTTTGCAGTGTGTTTGTGTCTTTGCAGTGTCTTTGCAGTGTGTTTGTGTCTTTGCAGTGTGTTTGTGTCTTTGCCGTGTGTTTGTGTCTTTGCAGTGTGTTTGTGTCTTTGCAGTGTCTTTGCAGTGTGTTTGTGTCTTTGCAGTGTCTTTGCAGTGTGTTTGTGTCTTTGCAGTGTGTTTGTGTCTTTGCAGTGTGTTTGTGTCTTTGCAGTGTGTTTGTGTCTTTGCAGTGTGTTTGAATGTGCAGTGTTTCTGTATATGCTGCGTGTTTTTCTAAATGTATGTCGTTTCATCAGTTGCTGAGCGTTTGACCCCTACTGGCCACCGTAAATGTTCTCTGAAACAGGAACAAAAAGAATCCATCATCTGTATCAGTTTGTAAGTCTGTAAAAACTTCAACCAATGTCTGCCACGAGGTACCAATCTGATGAACCAATCAGACGCATCCCTGCTCGCTCTCTACCTCTTGCGTACTCTGAGGGAATGCTACTTTCAAAATCATGCTAGTTTTCCAAAAATGACCAACCCTGCCTTTGTAAGTTATATTAAGTAATAACTGGTTATTAAGTCATTGCAGCTAGTTTAGCTCATTTCTGAAGGCTACAGTTAAAGTTAGCCGTTACCGTGGAAACTGCTCTAACTCTAAACCTAGTTGGAGCTGAAGAAACCAATCATTTTTAAATCAATGAAAACAATCAAAATAAGGGTTGTGTTTGAAGTTAGTAATTATTATATGGGATGTGGTTTAGTGAGCAGGACCAGGACACCGGATCTCACCCGGTCCGGGCTCCACTCCGCGTTACCAACCCGCTCTCTAATCATCATCTCTGCACGTCTTTCTCTTCTTTAATACATTATTTACAGTTATTTTACTTAACGTAGACGGTCTTTACGTCTCCCGATTAGCTAAACAGAGTATTTCTTGTTCACTGGAGTCTTTGTTCAGACTTCTTTCGGCAGAATAAATAACTTTATGCTGAGTTTGATAAATTGCCTGATTTGTGAATGAGGTTTGGTGCAGACTCGCAGACGAAAAGAGAGGTGATAACTGCGCATGTGCACTTAAATCTTCACGTTCATGACTTTTAATCAAACATTAAATATTTAAATTTAAACACAGACAGAGAAAATGTTCCGGACTCACAGCTCGCTTCACACTCCTCCGACTACTGTCGCTGCTGTTTCTTCTTCGTTGGTATTCTGCCGTCTGCAACACAAAGAGTTTAAATAGCGCCCTCAGGTGGTCATCAGCCACAGGTGCGTAAAGCAAATGTGCAGTTAACAAATCAAAAACAATCAATTTAAAATGAATTATGATAAAAGATAACTGAAAGTGACGTAAAAATACGTAAACAATGTATTAAGGAAAAAACGGCCGGGGGGGGGGGGGACTACACTCTGGTCCAAACAAATCCAGCATTCAGGACCAGAATCTATTTTAACTTCTTCTGTTTATGGACCTGGATCATTTGGTAGAAGAGTTTGTTCATTTTAACTTTAAAGCCTAAGTTTTAATCATCGATGAAGGTATCTTTTATTTCTTGTTTGTATAACGTGTTTGTTTTTATAGAACTACATCTCCCATGAGGCCGAGCGGCGTCCTCCCGCCTCTTCAATTCCGCTCGAGTTAAATGGCTCCGAGTGACGTCCCAGCTGACCAAGGAGGAGCAGCGAAGCCGGCGAGGGGCGGAGCTTGTTGGTCCCGTTCACAGAAAGTGCCACGACTCTGCAGCAGCCTGACAGACTCCGCTGAGGTGAGAAAAACTCTTTGACTCCGCTCACAAATGATTTTTATTTCGCTGCTTGAATTAAAATTAAAGACAGGGGATGAAAAAGTTAAACGTCAGAGTGTCGCTGAGAAGTAGGAGAGAGGTTTACTCAGAAAAAGACTTCAACTTAGAATCACAGGAGGTTTTTTTATACAGCCAAAAATTCAGAAAAAACTTTAAAATCCAAAATTTAGTGCAGGAAAAAAAAAACGTAACAGATGAAATGAAGATTGAAAAAGAGTTGAGATGAATGTTTGAGAGCTCAGAGACTGTGCAGCTGCAGGACAAACGGACTTACTGCTGAATAACGTTAAAACTGTAAAAACTGTAAAAATGATCAAAGATAAAGAAAAACAGAAAACAGCGTGAAGCTACCTGTGCGGACTTTACCTGTCCGCTGTCTCTGTGTCCTTTCGGGTTAAAGTTCTGAATGTGAGGGGTCCCAGAAGAACCCGGACTGAGTTACATAAGTGTGTGTGTGTGTGTGTGTGTGTGTGTGTGTGTGTGTGTGTGTGTGTGTGTGTGTGTGTGTGTGTGTGTGTGTGTGTGTGTGTGTGTGTGTGTGTGTGTGTGTGTGTGTGTGTGTGTGTGTGTGTGTGTGTGTGTGTGTGTGTGTGTGTACACAGTACAAAGGGTTAATTGTGGACTCAGACACGTCACTCCTGCAGCCCCCTCTCTGTGTACTCTTTACATCCAGGATATATCCTGAGTCACAGCTTGTGTTCAAACTTCTTTCCCTGCTAAGTGTCGGGAACAGAATGTCCTCGGATATTAAAAGTTAAATGTTTGTGAATCATCATCAAAGCTTCCCTTCAGAGGTGTTTTAGTTCTGATCTTAATCGACTTCTTTTTTTATTCTTTAACATCCTTTTAAATGTTTAAACATTTTGGATCCGATACCTGAAAAGTGAACGTCTGATATTTAAATGCAGAGCGGTCCAAAGTACAAAATGTTCCTCTAGACGAAGAAGAAAACTACGACTACTCAAAACATTAAAGTGCAGAGTCCTCGTGTTTAAACGTCTTTGAAATGACTGAAGGAGGAGACGTTTCTTTAATAACCTCAAAGTCGATTTAATAGAACAATAACCAATAACCTCTCTCTCATGGCGTCCACAGAGTGCCCCGCTCGCCTGTTTTCAGCACTATGTAACTCAGGTCGTTCACACACACAGAGAGAGAGAGAGAGAGAGAGAGAGAGAGAGAGAGAGAGAGAGAGAATCGTTAGCGGTAACTCCGTTATCAAACTTTTATTTAGAATTTCAGACGAAGCATTTCTCAGGAGCAGTCCTCCTGATCTGTTCTGGCGCCAAGCGGCTATGTTGGCTTTTAAAGAGTGATTATACCCGAGCTCAAGTCGAACACATTCTGAAGTCTAAGTTTTGGAATTGCTCCAACCAGCAATCATGAAACTGGTAACTGGTAAACATGATATTGTTTTTGCGAGACGTCATGACAGGAATCACCAACATCTCCGGAGTCCTGCGAGGAAAAATCAGTTCTGATGAAGAGCAAACCGAGAAGTGATGAGTCAGATAATCAAAGACTGAGTCGGATTTAAAGTCCTCCGATTCAATCTGAAGTTCTGAATGTTTACCGTCTAATCAGTGAATGATTGAATCATGAACAAACAGGCGGTGACCTTTAACCTCCAGTCAGTGATCACAGAGGAATGTCTCCTACTGGATTTGATTGGCTGCTTCGTCCCAAAGTGACATTGATGAGAGCTGTAACTCTGCGTCCTGAGCTGAAAAGCTTTTTCTTTATGCACACCCAAAAACCGCTAGAAGAACATACCGAGCAGCGCCTGGTAGAGCTATAACACGGCCACCTGTCAATCAACTTGGCCACGCCCATAATTATGCAAATAATGAATAGTTCTTAGCCTAAATATTATTAAAACAAACAAGTTATGAATAACTTCACCCTGTACAGAGTGTGCAAGTAAACATGTTTGGGACCTAAGGGGAACCAATGGGTACCTAAGGGGGAACCTATGACTCACTTGTGGCGCCGCCATCAAGTGGACACTCAAGGAACTGCAGTTTTTTTGCATGTCCACTTTGGCTTCATGTCTTTAACACTGGAGGTTGGTGCTTAATACAACATATCAGGAGAGCGAAACTTGTAACGTCTAAGATGTTAAATGTAGAAAAAGTCTTGGGATCTCTAAGCTCCGCCTCCAGTGTTGGGTGGAGTTTGTCTTCCTGCTGTGAGCTGATGTTCTTCATCTTTGTCTTCCAGACTTCCTGTGGGACACCCTGATCAGTCATGGACGTGTCCGACCCCCAGACGCTGGGCTTCATGGTCTTTGGAGGCTTCATGATCATCTCGGCGGTGGGCATCGCCCTGGTCTCCACACTCTCCATGAAGGAGACGTCCTACGAGGAGGCGCTCGCCAAACAGCGACGCCATCACGTCAGAAACCAGAACACGAGAGCAGACAAGAAGAAGAAGGACAAGAACCAGGAGAAGAAGAACAAAGGGAAGAAGAAGGAGGAGCAACCTGAAGTGAAGCTCCCTGAACCCGGTGGTGACGTCAGTGAGGAGCCTGAGGTGGTCTCCTGTACCGAACCAGAGTCTGACACAGAGCCTGCTGCTGAGCCTGAGGCTGCACCTGAACCTGAACCAACACCTGAACCTGAACCCACTGAGGTAACCACCCCCACCATTACAGAGTCTCCTCCAGCCCCCTCCCCGAAGGAGAAGAAGAAGAAGAAGTCTGTGAAGGCGGAGCCAGCCGCTGTTGTGGAAACTGTTGCTAAGGAGGTTCTGGTGATGGCAATGGCGCCCGTGGTGGAAGTTTCCCCGGTAAATATCGCAGAGGTCACCAAAGAACCGCCTGCTGCCAAACCCGAAGAACCCAAAGAGAACAAGAAGAAGAAGAACAAGAACAAACCTGAGTCAGGTGAGCAAACACAGACGTACCTGTCCAGAAAGACCAAGAGTTTTCTCTTTGATCTCTGGGTCTGAACCGGATCGGCTTTTCTGACAAAACGTTAAAGTACGATGAGGGCGGATATGATGCCAGGATTTTAAATTTTGATATGAGTCTGCTAAAGATCAAACAATATTGATGCCTGTTTGAAACCATGGCAACAAAAACAGAAGTCTGAGACACTCAATATTGTGTAGTTTATTATAAATACCAACGTTGCATTGCAATGTCGGACATATTCATATGTCCGACATTGGCAACGTTGGTATTCATATGTCCAACATTGGCGATTCTAGAGCCTGTTGGGGCCCTTGGCAAAAATCAATTGGGGGGCCCTCCAATCAACATTCAGCAGGACAACGAGAATGAGCTCTGTCAGGTGGTGTCCACTAAAGGAGGTTTCCTACCCTCACTGCAAAATTTGCACATTTTCGGCCACTGCTTTGGGTCCCCTACTGGTCTTGGGCCCCAAGCAGTTTCCTGCCTTGCCTGTTAAGAAGCAGCGCCTCTGGACATTGGCAACGTTGGTATTGGACTACACACACGTGCAGTCAGACGCTGAAATCCCAACGTGAAACCATGGAACAATCATGGTTTTATTGTCCTGATTTTTCTTTTAGTGACAGACTCTGCAGACTGCTCCGTGCCATCCAGCGAGCTGCTGTCCGCCGTGTCCAAAGGGACACTCAGTGAGGACGAGATGAACAAACTCATGGAGGTCCTAAACCAGAAGGCCGGCGTACGCCAAGAATCCTGGCAGCTGGTACGTCAACACAGTCACAGCAACAGCTAAAGTAAACAGCTAGTGGTGAAACTAAATACTGTTATCGTCCTGAACCATCAGCGTTTCACAGCATATGTACACAAACATTAAACAACAGTTAGCATATTCAACAGTTAAACAAAGCTAATACAGGCCAAAGGCAAGTTTATTTATAGATCACCAATCACACAAGAGAAACTCAAAGTGCTTTACACTAGATATAGTAAAGTATTAAGAAGCCCAACAACCACTGAATTTCACACCTGTAAAGGGCTGAATGCAAACAAGAGTCCTCGAAACACCCCAGGGTGTTACAAAGAACCTATGAGTGACTTATATTGAAAACTTGAAACCAAATATTTGAAACCAAATATTTTATAGGCGGTTTAGAGCCTTAAACCCTTTTATGTTATGGGCCTAAAATCCTTGTATTTTACAGGGTTTTGAACCCTAGGGTCTTTAAACCTTGTATTTCCCTGGGCCTTCGACCCCTGGGGGCTTCGGCCAAACCAGCAGCTAATATTTGCAGCGAACTTTCAGTCAAACAAAGAATGCTAGCGACCAGGAGCTAATTCAAACTAAAGCAGTTACAGTTACAAAAACAGAACGCCCTTTAGCTGCTCGTAGACTCGCCATCTAAACGCCACCTATCTCTGTGACTCTCAGGCCTGTCAGAAAGGAGACCCTCTGTCCACTCTGAAGAAACAGCTGGAGGAGAAAGAAAAGCTGCTGACCGCTGGGCAGGAGGACGCCGCCACCGCCAAGACCCGCCTCCGAGAGCTCAGCAAGGTGAGCCATGCGGCATTAAACATGTTGACGTCTTTTTAATACCACGTGTTTTATATCAATATCTCTGATATTTGAATGATCCATTGACAAACGTAGCCAATGTCTCTGTACCACTTAGACTCACAAATCCCAACGTCACGAGTAAAGTTGAAATCCTGGTATTGTCCTGATCATATTCCTTTTGTGCTGATGGTTTGTGATCATAATACTGCCATTAAAGGAGCGATACATTCAGTTCTTTACATTTCCCTTTCTGTGCTTCCTCTTACAGCAACTTGGTGCAGAGAAATCCAAGATGGCGTCTTTGGAGGCGCGTCTGAAGGCGGAGCTTAGTGCTCAGGTTCTAGAGGTCGACGCTCTGAGGACCAGGATGGAGACCACTGACCAGGAACACCTGAAACATACCGAGCAGCTCAACCAGAAGGTGATGTTTTACTCACGTTCGTTCTTTCTTTGGTGTTTCACGAGGAGTTCACTGTTTTGAAACTGTCATCATGTTAAGCTAACGGTCTGATGAACTTGAACAGATCGGGAGTCTGCAGGAACAGCTGGAGAACGGTCCCAACGCTCAGCTGGCCCGACTGCAGCAGGAGAACTCCATCCTCCGAGACGCCCTGAACCAGGCAACCAGCCAGGCCGAGAGCAGGTAACACACCTGGTCAGGTAACACATCTGGTCAGGTAACATGTCTGGTCAGGTAACACACCTGATCAGGTAACACATCTGGTCAGGTAACACATCTGGTCAGGTAACACCTGGTCAGGTAAAACACAAGGTAAGCTCCTTTACAGGACTAACTCGGTAGTCCTGTAAAGGAGTACTTTCAGATGTCATCAAGACTGAGGATCACTTGGGGAAACATTGAAACCATCCAATATGGCGTAAAGGCTTAACAATCTGCACACAACACTATATGAAACATGGACGTAGTCTCAGTGAGGTCATCATTGGTTTCTGAAGAGACGTGTTGAAGCCCAATGATGGCGGTCGCCATGTTGGAAATGCTTCCTCTACCTTACTTTAGATCAATGTAGAAACAGACAAAGAGGCCACGCCCCTAATCATACAGTTTTTAACTTTCAGCCTTAATATAATCAAAACAGATGAGTTATATAAAAATCAACAGAGAAATGATCTGTAAAGACCCTGATTTTTGTCCCAGACTGTGAACATGTATTTATACTATAACGGTTGACATTTTAACATAATGAGACTTTAGTAGAGAGCCTCAAGTGGACACTCGAGGAACTGCAGATATTTGCACTTCGTCATTGCCGCTTGATCCAACTGTTATTTGGTCTCATCTTCCCACAGGCAGAATGCAGAGCTCGCTCATCTCAGACAGGACTGTGTCCGCCTGGGCCGCGAGCTGACCGAGCGCTCCAATACCCAGCGAGCTGATGAGGAGCTCAGGAAGAACCTGGAGGCCAAGATGGCCGCCGCCGAGCAGGAACTGTCCAAAATTCAGGTAAGAAGAAAACAGAACTGTGGACTCAAAATGTCCTTTATTAGGACAGAAACTCAGCGGCTGAATTTGTAGTTTCTGACTTATTTCAACAAGTGACTTCTACCTAGTAAGTACTTTCAGCCAATCAGTGGTGGATGTTCTGTAAACAGGAAGTGACCTGAGTTTTCTTCTTCTCTTTGCAGATGGTCCATGTAGACGCTGAGCGCGCTCTGCAGCAACAACTGGAGGAAGTTTGTTCCCAGCTGAAAGTTTCACAGCAGGAAGCTGCTGCTGTTAGCGGTCAGTGTTTCTGTTAGCATTTAGCAACATCCGACTTAGGTGTCATGGTACCAGAAAATTAAACCTCAATATGATTCTACTTAAAATCAAACGATATCGGTAACCATTTAATACCATGGCAAGAAAAAGAAAGATCTCCTGGGTAATATTCATTTGAATGATCAATGCAGGCTAACTCCTGCACATGTTCTAAGTTTCACTACAACATGTTTTCTGGCAACGTTGGGATTTATGCGTCGGACTGAGCAAACACACAAATCCCATCGTTCCCAATGTTCCTGTGCAATCCTGACAGTGTGACGAACTTTGCCTTCAACTTTAAAATCATTATTTTCTGTAATTTACACACAGACACGTTGGCAGTGTTTGGCAAACTCTCCTGCACTCTGTCTAAATCGCAGAGACAACGCCGAGACTTGTCGGTTCAATTGTAGAGACACATCAGCATCATTTGGGATTCATGCCTCAGACATTGACAACAGAGCATTGGTGTATTGGACTTTTGGAACAAACGTATTGTGCAGTCTGACTTTTGATACGTGCACAGATCCTCAACGTTGCCAAAGTTTTTGTGCAATTTACACAGCTTGTCTGCAATGATTGATTCCTCTCCTACACTCTTGTCTTCCCGTTTTCTCTCCTACTTTTTGAAGCTATTGATCATTACATAACAGATACTGCATCGTTTTTGAAACACGTGGTATTTATGAGTATCATGGTATTGAACAGACCTCTGGCTTCAGTTGAGCTGATTCTAAAGCCAAACCCTTCATGATTGAAGCTAACACAAAGCTCTTCTGAGCAGGAGGCAAATTCATAATATTGATGTTTTTCTCTCCACTGCTGTTTCCCCTTCAGAGCTGCAGGGGGCGCTGGCGTCCAAAGAGACTGAACTGCAGGAGCTCAAGGTCCAGCTGGAGAACAAGGCTGCAGTCCAGGTAACTACCTGACTCACCTTCATTGTGTGATTAATGTCCTAATTTACCTGAGTGGGAAGTGAGTGGAGTTAGTCAGAGCTGAAGTGTTTCCCACACACAGACTGGAGACTACATCTACGACCATCTTCACCGATAGTTATTCTGATACTATACTACTACTAATGACCCGCTTCCTACGCCCACATTTAGCATGCAGCTCAGAGGATGACACCTGAAGTTTTTGAAAAGACCTGAGCCGTTTAGAATTACTATAGAAATACAGCGCTCCATTCCCTCATTTGAGCATAGTTGCGTTAACATCTCCCGCAGACCGTATTTGAGTCCACATGAATTGTGCACAGAGACCACGTCTTCAAGCGAACTCGGGCTCGGTACCCGAGTACGGTACGAGCACGTTGGTGTTAACACTGATCAGATGAATCGGACTTTGGGGTCAGGCGTACTCGGATGCAGGCTTGATCATACATTCTGATGTAGCCTAAAAAACATCAACATATCCCATCAGCTTGTGGGTTTGACTGGGCCTGATTTTAGGGGGTGATGTAACACCCTCTCCACCCTCTCCACCCTCAGCACCCTCTGCACCCTCTGTACCCTCTGCACCCTCTGTACCCTCAGCACCCTCAGCACCCTCTCCACCCTCTGTACCCTCTGCACCCTCTGTACCCTCAGCACCCTCAGCACCCTCAGCACCCTCAGCACCCTCTGCACCCTCAGCACCCTCAGCACCCTCAGCACCCTCAGCACCCCCAGCACCCTCTGCACCCTCAACACCTTCAGCAACCTCTGCACCCTCTGCACCCTCTGCACCCTCAGCTCCCTTAGCACCCTCTGCACCCTCTGCACCCTCTGCACCTTCAGCACCCTCAGCACCCTCTGCACCCTCAGCACCCCCAGCACCCTCTGCACCCTCAACACCTTCAGCAACCTCTGCACCCTCAGCTCCCTTAGCACCCTCTGCACCCTCTGCACCCTCTGCACCTTCAGCACCCTCAGCACCCTCTGCACCCTCAGCACCCCCAGAACCCTCTGCACCTTCAGCACCCTCTGCACCTTCAGCACCCTCTGCACCCTCAGCAGCCTCTGCACCCTCTGCACCTTCTGCGCCCTTAGCACCCTCAGCACCCCCAGAACCCTCTGCACTCTCAGTACCCTTAGTACCCTCTGCACCCTCTGCACCCCCAGAACCCTCAGCACCCTCTGCACCCTTAGCACCGCTACGTCTCCAAAGAGCTCCTTTCTAACAGTTGCTGGTAACTAGAAGAAGATGATAAACATGAACCTCTGCGTGTTAGCATGTAGCCGCTGCATGCTAACAGAGTGTAACTTGAGACTTTGAGGCGTTGATGTCATCGACTTGTTTTGTTTCTGCAGGTGGACGAGTCGTCTGAAGTGGAGACGCTGAAGCTCAGGTACTTTTCTGATTTATTCAAACATCAACGAGTTCAGATGTTGTCGAGGAGTCGGGAACATAAACGTGACTTCCTGTGTGACTTCCTGTCAGTGTGCAGCTCAAAGACGAAAAGATGGTCACCCTGCAGGCAGAGCTTACTCAGCTGAGGGAGGAGCTACAGCTGCTGTCATCATCGCAGTCAGAGAGGTCAGAAAGACATAAAGAAGCAGAATCTGACGATGGTTCATAAAGTTTAAAAAACACGTGGATGTGATTGTTTGGTGTCTTTGTTTCTTCAGAGTGACGGAGGACGAAGCTGCAGATCAGACGCAGAGAGAGGTACGTTTGACCTGTTCAGACTCACACACAGAGGGGTCCACATGAGAGCTTTAAGGATTCCACAGAACTGTTATGTCCCTTAAACCAGTATCCGAGTATTCCATCAGGTTTTGAGGATTTGAGGTGCTGTGAGGTGGGCCCCTCGGTCCTTATCAGTAGGACCGAGGGGCCCACCTCAGCACTTTGTCACCACGGTAACCAAACCAGCCATGTCACCTTCAACCAGGTAGAGTCGAGGCCGACAGTACCGACCCTCCCACATGACCTCTAATGAACCCACAACCAAACTGAGACTGATCCTGGTGCCGACATCGAGATTTAAATAAACATATTGGCTGATGACATCACTGTGACATCACATCCTGTTGTTTCTTCTTCTCTTCTGCAGGGATCAGGAAGTGAGACGGAGTCTGATCAGACGTTTGAAAAGTAAAAACGACAACATTTATGTTAGGATAACTTCTATTCTTTAATTTACAAAATATATTATGATTAATGTTTATGTGTGTGTGTGTAGTCTAGAGGAAGAATCTCAGATGCTTCGACTGGAGGAGGAGCTGCAGCAGGCTCGGAACCACGGCAACGTGAGTCCACACCTACCTCACCATTTTAATTGAACATCTGGAGTCCTGGGTCGGTGTCAAGAGCACTTAGCTGGTTTTATTCCTATCTTTTACACAGAACCTTTGAGGTCACCATAGGTAACCACTCATCCACCACCTCTTGTTTTACCTGTGGTGTACTGCAAGGTTCGATTTTAGGCCCACTCTTATTTTCTATTTATATGCTCCCACTCGGTAAAATTATCCAGCGCTATAACCTTTCTTTTCATTGTTATGCCAACGACACACAGATAAACCTTCTGCTGAGACCTGGTGACCAAGTAAGCCTAGCTGCTGTTTGTAACTGTCTCGAGGATATAAAATGTTGGATGGCTCAAAGTTTTTTACTATTTACATTTTTTACAAACCAAAGTCAGAAATCATACTTAATGATGATACTTAATTATCCACACCAAAACATCAGCCAGATTGAAAGTTCCCTCGGTCCTCTCTCTGCTAACATCACACCCTCTGCAAGAAATTTAGGAGTCATTTTTGATTCAGACCTCACCTTCAACCGACACATCAAGAAATTCATCCAGTTTCCAGTTCTGTTTCATCCACATCAGATCCATTTCAAAGATCCATTAAAAAAATTAAATCAATTCTCTCACCTGCTGACCTGGAAAAATAATCTTTTCCCGTCTGGACTATTGCAACTCCCTTCTCTCTGGTATAACTCATAGTTCACTTTCCCGCCTCCAACTGGTCCAGAACGCAGCAGTTAGGCTTCTTACTAGTTTTAACAGACGACATCACATCACTCCTGTCCTTGCTTCCCTCCACTGGCTACCTGTCACTTTTAGAATTGATTTTAAGATCGTACTGATCACTTTTGAAGCTCGTCTTGGCCTTGCCCCCGAGTTACATTTGTGAAATTTTAACCCCTACCAACCTTCTCGTGACCTCAGATCCTCAGGCATTGCCCTTCTGGTTGTTCCAAAGTCGAGGCTCAAATCGAAAGGAGACAGAGCCTTTGCGATCAGAGCCCCTTGACTTTGGAACAACCTGCCTGAGGAGATAAGGCGGGCAGAGTCAGTGGCATCTTTTAAATCACTTCTTAAAACTCACTTTTATAGAGTTGCTTTTATGTGATTTCTCCTTTAAAGATCTAGCCCTTCCTTTTATTCACTTTATTGCTTTTAACCTTTTTATCTTTCTCTTCTTTAAATGTTTTACCCTTTAAATGTATCCCTTCCTGTATTCATTTTGCTGCTCTTAGTCTTTTTTTAATTCCTACTCCTTTTATGGTTTAACTCTTCAGCACTCTGTTGCTTTATTCATTTAACCAATCTCCTGTTTATCCCTTCTTTTTATCTTCATTCTGTGTTTACAGCCTGTGATGTGATGTCATCCCACTCTCCCTCAATTTTCATTTTGTTCTCTCCTGGTTGATTTTAAACTCATTTTTCTTCATTGTACTGAACTGCCTCTCCATACCTGCCCGTTGAATCTTATTCCTGTTATTTGCATTTTTATAATTTTGCCCTCTCTGTTGATCTCTGTTCTGTTGTCATGTTGCTGTATTTGCTGTATTTGCTTTGTCTGTCACAACACTTTGTAAACATTTGTTTTTAAAGGTGCTATATGAATAGTTATTATTATTACATAAAGTTATAGATCCGTGGATAATAGAGCGTGACACATCAGTGTGTTTACGTGATCCATGTCTCAGCTTTTAGTACCAACACTTTCTGCAGCAGACAGACATGCCAAAGTTTAGTCCAACTCTGACTGTCTTTCTTCCCGTCCTCTTCAGGAGCTGGAGGAGAAGATGGCGGCCTCAGCGACGGCGTTTTCAGAGGCCGAGCGTCTACAGGAGCAGAGGGAGGCGGAGTTTAAAGCGGAGCTGGTCAGTGACTTGAACAGAAAATAACATTAATCATCGGTGACTGCTCAGTCTGTAAAAAAGGATTTGTTGACCTGTGTTTTCAGGCTGAGGCTGAGTCTAGGTTTACGGCCCTGCGTTTGGACTTCCAGGCGTCACTGCAGGCTCTGTTTCCTGGCGTCTCCATGGAGACGGAGCAGGTGAGTCAGCAGTTTCCTGACTGTACAGTAACATGGTGTTCTCTCTCCTTATCGATATTAAATCAATCTTATTCTTGATGAAGATGTCTTACGCTGCTCTCAGGCGCTCATTTACTCATTACTTATTGTTATTATTATGATAAAGATCATATTCCTGAGCCTGATGGTCAGTACCCGGGGCCGAGCCTGACGGTCAGTACCCGGGGCCGAGCCTGACGGTCAGGACCCGGGGTTGAGCCTGACAGTCAGGACTCGGGGCTGAACCTGACGGTTGAATCGTGTGCTAACAGTCTGTTTGTTGTTTGTTTTCTGCAGAATAATTGGCTGGAACTTTTCACACAGAACATTCAGGAGAGTCAAAGTGGAGCGGAGAGGTCTCACTTTGAGGTAAAAACAGGAGACCTTTTCTCCTCACACAAACAGACGGCGAGCAGAGAAGACTTTTAAAACACCTTTCTGAGTTCTCAAAGACGATTCAAACCAACAAAACAATTTAAACTTTTAAGCCGTGTGACGGAGCACAGTGTTGTCGTTGGTGAGTCATCGTCTTGTTATGTGATGCTTTGTTGTTGCTTAGTTGCAGTCGAGGATGGACGAGGCGGAGAGGAAAGAGGCGGAGCTTGATCAGAAGACGAAGCTGCTGCAGGAGACGGTAACAACTTGAACACGATCTGTCTCATGACTTTTCCATCGTTCTCTTCTTCAACGCATCATCATCGTCTTTTTGTTTGTGTTCAGGAGGCGGAGCTTCAGGCCCTGCAGCGCCGCTCAGAAGAAGAAGAGAGCGCATGGAGGAACAAAGTGTCCGAGCTGGAGCTGCAGAAGCAGCTGCTGCAGGAGGACTTTCAGACGAAGAGCACGGAGACGGAGGACACGCAGCAGGTCTCACACTCTGACTGTGTGTTAATGCTCTGTGTGTTCACAAACAGTGTATTAATAAAGTGTGTGTGTGTGTGTGTGTGTGTGTGTGTGTCAGCTGAAGGAGCAGCTGATGCTGTTGGAGGCTCAGCTGGAGAAACAGCTGGTGGAGGCGAGCGTCACTCAGAGCTGCAGCGAGGAGCTCGCTCAGGTCAGACACACCTTCTGTCTCTCTCCTGATGTTTTCTGTTTCTTTCATGAATCATGAACACTTCACTGTGTGTGTGTGTGTGTGTGTGTGTGTGTGTGTGTGTGTGTGTGTGTGTGTGTGTGTGTGTGTGTGTGTGTGTGTGTGTGTGTGTGTGTGTGTGTGTGTGTGTGTGTGTGTGTGTGTGTGTGTGTGTGTGTGTGTGTGTGTGTGTGTGTGTGTGTGTGTGTGTGTGTGTGTGTGTTAGATGCAGTCTCAGGTGCAGCAGATGTGTGTACGTCTGCAGGTGGAGGAGCAGCAGCGTCAGCAGCTGTTCACAGAGCTGGAAAAGGTCAGAGGTCACACATTGAACCCCTGTGTCACCTCCTGAGGTCAGAGGTCACAGGAAGTCACACCTTGCTTTTTTTTTTTTTCATTTCCACCAGGCTCGACAGGAAGTGAAGGAGCTGCAGAAGGAGGCGGGTCAGAAATCAGCTGCTCCACCCGAGGTCTGCACCGCCATCTTGTTTTTTCTTCATTTGATTTATGTTTCTGTTTACGCTTTGAGGAGCTCTAAAATTTCTATTTCTGTTTGAATCTCGTGTGTTTTTCTCTGCAGGTGGAGGAGAAGGAGGAGGTGAAGGAGGAGGTGAAGGAGGAAGTGAAGGAGGAAGTGTTGAAGGAGGAGACACCTGTGTGAAACCATTCCCTTCCTGCCTGTGTCGTTACCGTGGTGACAACTTCTAAATGATTCTGACTTTGATACCAGTTTGTTACCACGGCAACAAAAATAGAAGTCGTACACATCCGATGTCGGATCGGCTCTCGTAACCTTGGACGACCTTCACGTGGTCACATTTCACAAACGATGACGAGGAACCAAAGAAGAAAGTGTTTTTTTTTGTTTTTTTTACAGTATTATAATTATTGTCTGTCACTTCAGGATGAATAAACTGTAAAGTCTCACTCAGCTGTTTGTGTTGAATGTTCTGTAGAGAGTAAGATGATAAAGGTATCTTACTATATGATCATTAAGGAAACATGCTATGTTGAAGTGCTGGCTTCTCTGACAACAATGCAGCAGCCAGTATGTCCTCCTTCTAACTTTAGATTCTGCTCCTGAATGCTCTGGATTTGTTTGGACCAGAGAAGGTAGGCGCTTTTAAGGCACGATATGCCAGATATGAGAGCATTTATCAGGTCAACAGGTGTTGCAGCGATGGAAGTGGTTCAGATAGAAGTGATTGTACCCGACCTAAAAAGCCTCTGCATGTTTCTAATAAGCTCCACGAGCAGAAACGTGCTCAAACTAGGATCAATATTGGAGATGCTTTTGAAAAATGGAGAGAGGTTAGAACACAGAAAGGTTTACAGACCCATGCAGAGCTGGATAAACACTGAAGCTTCAGAGTCCACCACATGGTGACCTGAGTGAGCATCCACTCTAGAGAGGAGGGTGGGGGGGAGACAGCTCTCTATGATGTTTAGAATTTAGACTGCAGTACCCATTTTAAACACTAGGGGTCAGATTTACATACTGCTCCTTTAAACTCGTTTTTACTAACATTTGAGTAATTCGTGGACAAAAATGTCCACTTCCACAGACATCCATAAAAATGTTAAATTTTCTTTTTTTTTTCAAAACTATTTCTTTCAATCAACTTTAGTCCTGATCAAAAACATAAAATATTTAATTATTTTCAGGATTTTAACCCTTTAGATGCCAGTTTGATGACATGCTACATGATGTATTATTTTATTTTTACAGCCATTTTTGTCTCAAGAAGTGGAAGTGGCTCAAGAAGGCGGCACATTTTAAATGAGACACTGCACAAAAACTAATAAGGCATTTTCATCAATGTTGTTGATAATCTTTGACATATCCAAGACTGTGTTTGAAATAAATCCCCCAGCCCCCCCTCATATATAATATAGAAAGTATCATTTGTTTTGTGTTTTTTGTTTTCTAAAAACCTGTGAAATCATTTTATAAAACTTGCATCTAAAGAGTTAAAATACTAAAAATAATTGAATATTTGATAGTTTTGATTCAAAATTGAATGATACCAGAGGGTTAAATGGTACCTCCATTTTCATTTGTGCAGGTTATCAGAGAGTTTCCTAATTATCTGTCTCACTGTTGAATTTTTCTGCAAATATGGGGGGAAGGACGAGAGGAGAGGAGAGGAGAGGAGACGAGAGGAGAGGGGAGACGAGGGGAGACGAGAGGAGACGAGACGAGAGGAGATGAGAGGAGACCATTTAATTTCTGCTTTATATATATGTATATATACTCATGAGATCAAATGTGACTGAATAACCTGAATCTGGTGTTAATACGACCTAAAATACTCAAATTAAGTAAGAGCTGTCTAAATGAATTTTCAGAGAATATGTGTAAGGTGGAGCGCTACGGCCATCTAGTGTTTGTTATCTTTGTGGACATGTAAGTACCTATAATCATATATATATTTAGACCATGTGATTTATAAGTTGTTACTGCTTAATACATTGTTTTCTTGTCTTATAGATTGTATAGGAAAAATATTCCTATATATATCCTACATCAATCACGGACAAAGCTGTTCTCAAGTGAGGCTTAAATTAGGTCTGCGCAGTCTAAGCTTTAGAGAATCAGTTTAATATTTGTTTTATTAATGTAAAAACTTTAATCTTTTTCTTCTTTAATGGACCGCCGTGTCCTGAGTTTTACCGGTTTAAAACTCTTGTTTTGTTTCTGTGTTCGGGCTGCCGCGTCCTGTGTTTGTTTTCCGTAAACAGCGTTATAACAGTACCTTCAATTTATTAAATACAGGTTATTAACTAATTATTAACAATATTAGTAATTAATTAACTAATTCAAGACTGATTTTGGTGATATTTGGTTATTATGATCTCAGAGTGCTGCCCCGAATCAATTAAACTTAGTTTAATAATATTGTTATGTTATGTTAATAATTGATTTAAAGATAATTATTAATAAAATAACTAAATTTGACTATATAAAACCACAACATAAATGGTGCCCCGTGCGAGGCTCTCAATAAAACCAGCTTTATTGCACTTTTAATGCAAAGTAATTGGAATTTTTCCTCCCTGCCTCGAAAGGAGTCATCGGATTGCCGTGCGTAAAAGTTCCAACTCTTCAAAGAGATCTCGACCGATCATTGTGAAATTGCTGAATTACCAGGATGAGATAAAGGTTCTGCGGCTGGCACGTGACAAAAGAGAGCTCCGGTTTGAGGATAAGAATTTACCTTTTTCCCGACCTCAGCGAAGCAGTGCAGTCCAAACACAGAGCTTTTCACATGTGAAACAGAAACTCTGATCGCTCGGAATCAGATATGCTATGTTCTTCCCTGAAATATTATCCATCAAACATGGTGCCAATAAAATAAGGTTTCATTCACCGGATGAGGCAGAGAGTTACGTGAATGAAATCCAGGTCAGTGAACCGGCATCACCTACGGACTGACATGGCCCTGTCAGACTGTATTGCTCTCGTCGTCTCTGAGGATGGTGATATTCTTTATTAGTAAGACAAAAAATATGCTAGTACACATAAAACCTGTATAATCGCTGGTTACCTGACGTAAAACAAGACCAATGTGTGTAGGCAGAAATGTTTGTTTCAGAAATGTTTGTTTCGTCTTATATCCTCGGTGATTTATTTTTTATCTTTATCATTTTCGTTCTTTAATGAAGCGCTGCACTTTATTTTGTTTGATTATGTGGAATACACCAAACAAAAACAACATTGCTTTGCTTATGAAGTTGGTGCTGTGGCCTGCATCAGCTTGATTAATGATTTACACCTGCACATTATTATGTTTAAATTGAAGGATGTTATTAATCACATTATGTGTTGAGGACACCGTTAAGAGAGGAAAACATTACTAGAGAATGATGTATAGTTACTTTAGCAATTTGCTCTATACCATTCTTATTTTTTTTTCTCACTTTTTCTCTCTCCTGTATTTTTTACATTTTTCTAACTCTTTAAAATGTCAGCAATAAGACTGGAAATGAAATCAGTTCAGTGTGTAATTATTTCGGTTTAAAAAATATATCTATATTTGTAAACGTATATATCAAAGTTCTGGCAATAATTAATTTTCCAATAATATTTGACAGACACAGGCTCCTTTTTGTAGTTGTTAGGGTATGGTTGGGCACAACACAGGTCTCTTTGACTTGTATTGGGCCTATTGCCGTTTGGATGGGAGACATGTTGTTAAGTCTCTTATTTGTTTTGTTGGTGAAGTCTCTGTTTTTTGTTGGTTTTATGTTTTTTGTGTTGCAAATGAGTTGAATTTATGAATGAAGGTTATCAGCAGAGCAGTAATTTGTAAATTTCCTAACAGTGGGCTGAATATGAGCTTTAATAGATATGATTTAATCTTTCATGTCATCTAATAATTTAATTTTTACATGTTCCTGGAATATTAAAGGGTATAAACATCCCATTAAAAGGAAGAAAATCCTGTCTTACTTGAAAAAAGAGAAAGTAACTATTGGAATGTTGCAGGAGACACATTTAACAAACTTTAAAATTAAAGTGAAACTGGGTTGGGCAAGTGTTTTCTGCCTCATATAATAGCAAAAGTAGGGGGGTTTCTATTTTAATTCATAAAGACCTCCCTTTTAAAATGAAATATTATGAATCTGACCCAGAGGGTTGCTTTGTGTTTCTATATGTTTTTTTATATGGTGAATCAATAACTATTCTAAATGTGTATGCTGCAACAAATATTCAGTTGAACATTTTTACAAAATGAACTTCATTGCTTGCACAGTATAGTTTCCCGAATGTTATTTTTGGTGGTGACTGGAACTGTGTGCTGGCTAGGCAGCCTAGTAATCTCGCAACCCTCCAAACCCACAGACAAAAAGCTATCTGTCAAATGTTACATGAGGTCGGTCTTGTAGATGTTTGGCATATGCTCAACCCTGATAATAGAGACTTTACATTTTACTCCAATCCTCACAGGTCTTATTCTAGAATTGATTTTTTCCTTGTTCCACGAATCTCTATTGAAAAAGTAGAAAAATGTCATATTGGATCTGTTCATATATCGGACCATGTTCCAGTTTTTTTAGGTATCTGTATATCAAATAGTTATTCAAACAGATATAATTGGAAATGCAATAGAGCTATTTTATCTGACCCAGACTTTTGTTCTATGGCCCAAAGAGAACTCAAATTATTTATCCAGGAGAATGACAATGAATATACAGACCCTTCAAACTTATGGGAAACAACTAAAGTTTTTCTAAGGGGCATAATTATATCATATTGTTCAGCTAAAAAGAAGAAAAAGTTGAAAGAACAGAGACGCCTTGAAGTAGAGCTACAGGAAGCTGAATTTGACCATAAACGCAATGGGTGCAAAATCAACTGGGACAGAGTCATAAGGACTAGAACTGCTTTAAATACACTTCTATCTCAAAAGGCAGAAAAAGTTTTATCTAAACAAAAACACAAGGTATATGAATATGCTAATAAATCTGGGAGGTATTTAGCTAATTTTATAAGTAACAAATGCTCAAAAAAATAAATTACAAGATTTAAGGACAAGAATGGGAAGCTGCATTATACTAAAAATGAAATGACAAAGGTGTTTAATTATTTTCCTCTTTATATACTTCAAAAACACTAAGCATGGATGATAAGATGAATAACTTTTTTCAATGCATAAAACTCCCTAAGGTCTCTGAAGAAGATAGGAGTAAGTGTGATATGGATATAAGCTGTAAGGAAGTTGAGGACGAGATAGATACCTTAGAATCAGGAAAGGCCTGTGGACCAGATGGCCTCCCGCCAGAGATTTATAAAGCCTTTAAAGAAATCCTTTCTCCCCTATTAACTAGCATGTTTAAATATTCATTATCTATTAAAACACTTCCACAATCATTGCAACTGGCCACTATTAAAGTACTTCTTTTTTTCCAAAATATTTTTACTGAAAA